GGTCAACCCCTAACCTGTACTGATGCTTGGGCTTATTCCTCCCTAGGTGGGGGGGTCCTACACTTGCCCTTGATGAATTTTATTCGGTTCCTCTTGGCCCAACTCTCTAGCCTGTCCAGGTCTCACTGAACGGCAGCGCAGCCTTCCGGTGTATCGGCCACTCCTCACAGTTTTGTATCATCAGCAAACTTGCTGAGGTTACACTCTGTCCCTTCATCCAAGTCATTGATAAATATGTTGAATAAGATTGGACCCAACATGTTTTTCCTCTGCTGGAATTAAGGTGAGAGTAATGTAGCAGGTTGCCACCTGCAGCATCCCACTTACGAGGCGGGCACAAGGAGCAGTGCTCATTTTTGACTAGAATTCCTAGCTGGTACAAACCCAACAGATCAGTCGGAATGAAGTACCCATGCTGTTTTCTTGCAGTAACAAAGAAGTTAGTGCATGTTAGCTTCTAGATCTAGTAGATGGGAGTGCACTTGCCACTGTACCAGTTTACAGCTGGTTGGTTAAAGGCCAGAAACAGCCTGCATGAAGGTTTTTAGTGATATAACCATTAACCCTGCATCCACTAGCCAAACTAACATACTTAGAGTGGTATTTGGCTGCCTCTATATCCAACCACATTATGCAGAGTTAGTACATTCATTGTGTTCCCTTTTGCAGGTGCATGTTATGATCTTCAGAAAGATCCTCTAGAACCCCATTTCTTGACCACATTTAATGTAGCATCCCACCATTGCAAGACAAGATTTGTTAGGGTTTTTAAGAATAGATGTCTGAATATAGTACTTAGACGTGATTTGTGCCCAAATAGGGAGTGCTGCTCAAAATACAGAATGAAAATCAGGGTTCCTGCTCCAAGAAGCTTGCAGTATAAATACACATTCCAGGGGGGTTGCTGCTTCTACTGCCTGGCTCGCTTCAGTGTGGTCGGGCTCTTTCAGGGCTGAATTCACTGCAGACCAGGTACTGAGTAACAGAAAATTTCCATGACACTCCTTCTGTTTTCATTTACTTAGTTACTTTTTAGGGTATATGAAGAGGAAGAGTGCTGACCTTATTCAGAGTACATCAATAAAATGAGAACCTGTCTGCTGTATCAAAAGAAAAAGATGTACCTTGCCAGTTCTTGAACATTGAACTTCCAGGGTGTATCTGGTTCTTGGAATATAACTTCGTACCTATTTTCACGTGCCTGAAGAAGGACACAGAAGTTTTAGAGGTATGGCTGCCAAGCTCAGGAATAGCCAATCTGCCAGACCGCCGGAGATTTTATATGCCTAAGAGATGTATCACATGTATGAGGAGCCAGAAAGAGGAAGATAACCATGACTGTCATCAAGGTGCTGGTCTGAGCCCCAGCTAGTTCATTTCCTTCTACCCCAAAGGATTTGGGTCTCCCAGCAAAACTTGCCCTCAGCATTGCCCCCAGTCCCTGTGCCTCATGGCAATGGCATCCTGGCACTTGAACATCTGGAAGTCACAGATGGTTCAAGAGCCATGGGTTGGCCACACCAAGCTGGAGCTTCTGGGAGCATGAGGTCAACACCTAACAGTCATGCCATTTCCAGGCACTGAGTCTACAGGCTTCAATTCTTTTAACGTAAAGCAACGTATTTGTGTATGTGTGCATATGTGTGTGTGTGTATATATATATATTTAATACAGTTATTGATTGCTTTTGCTTTTTGATCTGGGGAAAAGGAGGCAGGGAAATCTGTTGATGTTTTTTTTTACATCTTGTCCAACTCTGGCTGTGCTCTCTCACTTGCTTCCTAGTCCCCCACAACTGCTATGGAGTGGCATGTTTGGGCTTTCCAGCACCACTACTCATTCTTGCCTCTTTTTTTGCTCCTGTACAAGCAATATTTAGATTCAAATTTCTTAACTGACAAGATCATAACCCAAGAACAGAAGCATGAGCATACTGTTAGCAGACAGGCGATATTAGGAAACTGTACTAAAAATATTGCCATTTCTGCCAGAACTCCTGACGAGATATCAGTGCGTCTTCAAAGATTATTAATGGTGTATTTTTCATGTCATAAACTAAAGTTATAAATCATATATTGATATATTTGTCAACAAATAGTTTGGGAACTGTTCAATTCACTACTGAGGAAGGAGACGACATCCTGATCACCAAGAAGTAACAGGGCAAGTTCAAAGACTTAATCTTTTCAAGTCATTTTGCCTTCACTGAGTTATATAGCTGACTAATTAAAACAACTACACTGGCACCTCTTCCCCTACTTCGTCACAATATCAATCTTTAACTATAATTAGAGAACTAAGGGAAAATGGAAGTAATTCTTTTTTAGCCATGATAAGAACCGTTTCAGTCAGATCACCTCTTAAATGCCATAGCTGAGTGTATAAAAGCAATGTCAGAGCTTTCCTACCATCATCACATACGGCTTCATTTCCCAAGCATGGATGTTGGTGTTATCAATTATAACCGGGCTTTTCCCATTCTTCATTGCCTTGCGTGCTGTAATGTAACACATTAAGTAATGACAAAATGTATTAAATAACAGACTGAGCCAAGTCTTACTAGCCCCAAAGCGTCCTTTCTTTGCCCACTGCTGGCACGCTCAGTTCCTCACCAGACTCGGATTTGTAGCCACCACCCAAACGCGGGCAGAGGAGAGCACACAGCTGGGCTGGGATTTGCATGCCATCTGCTGTCACCAAACTTCAGCAGTGCTAACAGTCACTGCTGTACTTTCTAAAATAACATCTAGCAATCACCGACACTTTTTATTTATAAATTTCTCTAAGTCAGAAGAAATAAAGTCAGAAGTGGCAAAAATATTTTTTTAACCAGTACCCCGTGAACGTCAGTATATGGCAACACTTTGAGATATTTTTAGCTTGGGGGCTAAGTTGAAAGATAGACTGAAAAGCAAAACTATTCTGCAAAACCCCTGGATCTATTTCAGTCACCTCGCTTTTGGTTCCATTTGTGTGCATCCTCCAAGAAGTCAGGCTCAAACATGTATACCCCATTTTCGATAAAGAAGTCATCAGTACTAAGAACTACAGCACCGGGATAGTCACGTTTCAGTTGTCTGGAAAAAAAAAAAAAAAAAAAAAGAAAGAAGGATTAGTATATGCTAATGCATGCCTTTAATAGAGAACATTAAATGAAGAGCCATACGAATGCTCTGCAAATATGCACAGTGCTTCATTTTGAAAAATCCCAGCTTAAAAGATCTGAAAGCAATGTAATCGGTAGATGGACACGCAGGAGGAAAGGAATGGAACTTAAAGGCATGGCCTTGATTTCTTTAATTCAGCAGAGAAATCTACAATGGACTGCCAACATGAGTTTTTAATCATATGAATATATTCAGTTTTCTTTCAGAGTTATCTGAGAAGACATGACTAAATACAAAAAAAACCTCAACCCAATCCCAGGGAAGTTAGTCTCAAAAGACAATTTGATCATGGGAGTTTTGCTACAGCAAGATTTTTGAAGATAACCAGGAGGAATGATTTGTCGTTTAATAAAGATGGTCTGTATTACTCTCAGTTTGTCTTGCTTTTTTTTTTTTCTACAAAGCACATCATAGCACTTTTTTAATTTGCAAGCAAATACTTGAGTGATTAGTCAGTATTTCCTATTATTTGTCACACTTTTATGTACGTTTCTGCTTTTCAACTTGTCCCTGTTTTACTTAACCCTCCTCTTGTAAAACTGAGTCAGTTTTATTTCTTTTCAGCTTTTAATCATGTTTTATAAACAAATCTGAATTGCCTAGATTAGCAGTCCCAAACACAACAGATCCATAAATCTGGTCCCCTGTGGCCAGTGGCAATCCCCCTTCTCTTCACTCGGATGTGTCTCCCACGCGACGCTCGTTCAGACACGGGATGCCCATGGAGGGCAGACGCGTGACCATCTGCCTCGCAGGCAGGGACTGGCTCTAGGAAGTGAAAATGCTCCTCATGTGGTGGCTTAAATATGAAGCATTCCTCTGCCAGTCCTTAGAGAGCATAAAAAAAAATCTTCATGCAAAATTGGCTTCCCATTTGTGTGCTTTTAGCCAGACTTATTTGTGTCCATAGACAGAATTGTCTAATCTATTTTTTTTCAATCAAGGGAGTATTGAGGGAGGCAGGAGGCTCTGCAAAAAGTCAGGGAAAGCCCACGGCATCGTCTCACTACTCTCTGTCTCCCTAAGGCCCAAAATGTCTCTGGAAAAGAAAGTAAGGCCAATTGGGAAACCTTGTGGCTCTCAGATATGAATGCTGCTGCTCTGCTATCTCACACCACACATGGTCGCCAGTCCCTGGGAGTAATTTCAACCGTCTCTGATTGATAAAAAGCTTCTCTTCCATCCCCACAAAATGCAAACCAACTATTTCTCAATGATGTCTTATCTAATTGAGCAACAGCAAGGGAAAAGGTGCCTCTAGGTTATCAGCAAAAAAACAGACACACAGAGAGAAAAGGCTTAATTTTGTCATCTCTAGTTCTGCTGCAACCATCTACTTATCAATTTTACCCTAATCTACCTGCTAGCAGTAATTCTTCACTAGGATTGCACATTGCATTTAGCTGAATAAAGGTCAGCTTCTGACTTTGTTCCGCCTCCACTGTAACTTAGAATCATAGAATCACAGAATCATTTTGGTTGGAAAAGACCTTTAAGATCATCAAGTCCAAATGTTTAACCTAGCACTGCCAAGTCAACCACTAAGCCATGTCCCTAAGCACCACATCTACATGTCTTTTAAATACCTGCAGGGATGGTGACTCAGCAACTTCCCTGGGCAGCCTGTTCCAGTGCTTGACAAGCCTTTTGGTGAAGAAACTTTTCCTAATATCCAATCTAAACCTCCCCTGGTGCAACCTAAGGCCATTTCCTCTTGTCCTATCACTTGTTACTTGGGAGAAGAGACCAACACCCACCTGGCCACAACTGCCTTTCAAGTAGTTGCAGAGCACGATAAGGTCTCCCCTCAGCCTCCTTTTCTCCAGGCTAAACAAACCCAGTTCTCTCAGCCACTTCTCATAAGACTTGTGCTCCAGACCCTTCACCAGCTTCATTGCCCTTCTCTGGACATGCTCCAGCACCTCACTGTCTTTCTTATAGTGAGGGGCCCAAAACTGAACGCAATAGTCAAGGTGCAGCCCCACCAGTGCTGAGTACACTTCCCTCTGCCCAGCCTATAGTTGTACTTGGGATTGCCAGAACCCATGTGCACTTGGTCTTGTTGAACTTCATGCAGTTCGCACAGGCCCACCTCTCCAGCCTGTCAAGGTCCCTCTGGATGGCATCCCTTCCCTCCAGCATGTCAACTGCACCACACAGCTTGGTGTCGTCGGCAAACTTGCTGAGGATGAACTCGATCCCACCGTCAATGTCGCTGACAAAGATGTTGAACAGTGCTGGTCCCAGTACTGATCCCTGAGGAACACCACTCGTCACTGATCTCCATTTAGACATCAAGCAATTGACCACAAGTCTTTGAGTGTGACCGTCCAGCCAATTCCTTATCCACCGACTGGTCCATCTGTCAAGTCCATGTGTGTCCAATTTAGAGACAAGAGAGACTTCCACAGCCTTTGCCTTATCTACTATGTGGGTCACCTTGTCATAGGAGATCAGGTTAGTCAAGCAGGACCTGCCTTTCATAAAGCCATGCTGACTGGGCCTGAGCACCTGGTTGTCCTGTATGTGCCCCATAATGGCACTCAAGGTGATCTGCTCCATCACTTCCCCCCAGCACCGAGGTCAGACCGACAGGCCTGTAGTTCCCCAGATCCTCCTTTCCGCCCTTCTTGTAGATGGGCATCACACTTGCTAACCTCCAGTCAACTGGGACCTCCCTGGTTAGCCAGGACTGCTGATAAATGATGCCAAGTGGCTTGGTGAGCACTTCTGCCACCTCCCTCTGTCCCCTCGGGTGGATCCCATCCTGCCCCATAGACTTGTGTGCATCAACTTCTACCATCTGCTGATTAATTAATATTATTTTATGGTAGAACTGCCCTAGAGAGCAGAAACTCACTGCTGATGGACTGACCAGGACTGGGCTGTAGCCACTGTTATGGATCATTTAGCACGTACAAGTCGTTATCTACTAGCTCCAAAGACATGTGTCAGGCACATTATTACTGCTGGGCAAACAGATCTAACAAAAGTCATGTTGCAAACTGTTAGCAAACAGTCAATTTATTTTTGCTTTAATTTTAGTCCCAGGCAAAGAATTCTTATCATGAAAAGCATGGGAGCACCTAATGCTTATCATCTGGTCACTCTTGTGCTGATAAACGGATACATTCAGCTCTCACTATAGATCAGCACCTCACCTTTCCCACTGCTCTACCCATCTGCATCGCAATCTCTTCTCCAAAAAATTGACTGTGCTAAAATATGTATGTCATCCCTTTAGCTACTAATAGGCACATAAAATTGACTACATCATTAGTAAAAGAAAGATCTCAATTTTTTTTTCCCTTGCTCAGTGTTTCTTTTAAAAATGTTCTCAACCAGTGCAAATTTAAAAAAATTATTTTCTTAGGATATACCTTACTAAATTGTTAACACACATATGCACACTTGCATGAGAGCTTTGATATTAACCCTTAAGGAACCTAAATAGTATCTGATTATCAGTCTACTGTCCTTATATCACTGGTAATTAAAGTAGATAAAACTTGTGCTTCAAAGGAGCAAAAACATGGCACAAAATGTGCTAAGAACTATGAATTACTGTCACATTTGCTATATTCATCCCAAACAAACTCCTACTAACAGCAACATAAGAAAACATTAAGTGGGAAAAAGAAGTTTTACCTCCTGCTTATTTTGCTGCTTTTAACATTTAACTGTCTAAACCAACCGAATTGACACTAAAGTTTACAACCATTTTCTGTAATTCCCTATCATCGCCCATGAAGCTGATAAAAATCCTGTTTCTTCTGTCCCTTACAATTTCAAAGGGTACCCAAATCTCTTCAGTATGTTGCTTGAGAAATAAGCCTTCTGTGATCTACACAGGACCACAAGTTGGTTTAGAAGAAAGGTTTTACATAATCGCATCAGGGTCCTAATCACTGTCTGCAATAAAAATGCCTATATTTTATCAAAATATACACCAGCTATGTAAAACGGGAGGACCTGTAACCAGTGTTATTAATTAATAAATTTTAGGCAGCACTGTAAAGAGAAAATTACCCATTGGCATTAGATCAGTAAGTGTAAAGCATACGAGGGAGGAAAAGAAAAATGAAATCTCTTTGCAAGACCAAAGGGTACCTATGAGCTGTTTTTTAAGAAAGCCACTGAACCTGAAGCGCTGCATTGTGATAAGCAGTATCTGTCAAAGGCTCCGTATTGATTTGCCTACTTGGGACATTTAATTGCACCGTGGTACAGCTCTCTATCTTCCAGTAGATACAAAATACAATACAGTAGATACCAAAAGCTCTACATCTCGCTAAAAAAAAGTTTGCTGCTGTTTCAGAAAATACAAAGGATAAGAAAATAAGAAGAGAAAAGGGGATGTTTCCTCTGCTTACAGTAAATCTCCACAAACCCTTTTTCCCCCTTTCGCAAAGCAAAGCAGATTTCCACGCCAGGTACCCTATCTTATTAGATTGGCTGACACAGTTAGGAAAAAAAACCCCAAACCCAACAACCAAAAAAAAAAGCTTTCAGATGCTTCTGCTCTTCAGCTCTGACCCAAGAGCAGCAAACTTCACGGAGCTACCAGCAGGGCCTGGGAGCTGCTAAAGCCCCTGGAAACATGAAGCTGTGCAGAGGCACAAGCTTGACCATCTGCCCACACCAACCCCACCGGCAGCCCGGGTAGCAAAGATGCTGCTGAACGACACGGCGTCTTGGCTAGTGGTGGTGCACACTCACCTGCTGGCTCACCCTGGGCAGATTTATGACGGCTGCTGTGATTAAAAAAGGAGATTCTTTCTGTTGAAAATACAGCTGGGTTTCTGTGTGACCACAGTAGCCTTGTAACAACTGCCTCAGTGGGCAGACAGGCGGTTTTAGAATCTCTTGCGCTATTCATCTGAAGATCTGTTCCCATGATTTATACCATT